TCAGAAGTCTCTGGCCTAACTCGTGTGCACTAAAATTCAGTTAAATTAAAATAAAAGCATGTTGTAAACTCGAATTTATACCTTTTTAATGTTTATTTTCTGAAACTAAAATTTAGTATAAATGAAAGATAAAATAATGCATACTTTTTAAAGACCTAATTTTTACCACCTTTTTGTAGAAATATGATATTGGAAGCAGTCATTATGTAGCACTGGATGTGGCATCAGGAGATCTGGTTTCTAGTCCCTGCTCTGTCACTAATAAGCTGTATGATCTTAGATAAACCGTTTAAATTCTGTGTCCTTGGTTTTGATATTAATAAAAGAAGATACATACCATCTTCCTTCTAGGATCGTTGTGAGAATTCAGATATAAGCAAAAATACACTGAAAAATTATAAAATATGCATTTTTTTTTTAAATAGCAGTGTGTAATGTGCAGCCTAAGGTCATTTTAATAGTATGCCATTTTTAATCTTTTCTATCTTTGGCATAGGAATCACCTATTGGTATGATAAGTGACTATCTTTTGAGCATGTTATAGTTTTGTAGAATAATCATCTGTTGTATATGAAGCACTTTTGGGTACTAGTAAAATCATTTATTACTTTAATGTTCCTTACTATCTATATTTGCTTCAGTGTATCTGCTGAAGCCGTATTTGTCATTTGTCTTCATAATTTTTAATTCTTTTTCCCAATTTAGACAGCTTTATCAAAAAACTTTACTGTCTTATATAGTGTTGTCCCATCATATGTACAGTTAGCTCATGCAAATTCAAACATAAGTGCTTAAAAAAATAATTTATTATACTGTATTGCTTCAAAATATAAGCTGCCTGGTTTATCTGGTGCTTAACCAAAGGAACAGTAATCTGTTTAAAAATTGGAAGAGAAGCTGGGTGGACATACTGTGAAGCAGTATGGTATATATAAAACCATACTTTGAAAAGTAGTGTAAGGGATTTTTGAGAAGAGTAATTTTGAGTACACACAATTTTCATCTTTGTTGATTTTAATATAAGCTTTCTGTAAGACGCAACTCAAGTGTAATTTGAAATAGTCGAATACTTAGTTTATTGACTAGGATTAGTTGGATTGCTACAACAGTGCTGAGTATTTTCTATAGCAGTTACTGTCATAAGGTAATACTTCAA